TTTATCTTCGTGGTTGTTTTCATCTTTTTTCTGATTGTCTTCTTTGGTGTTCTCCTTACTATCTTTTCTTGTGTATCGATCATTGAAGGTGTATCAATTTCCGATGGTGTGCCTCCCATTAGGGTGCAATGGGCAACATATGTTTTCGATGTCGTCATATCTTCTTGGTTTGGAAAACTTCTTTGATTTGTCAGCCATTGCCACGGTGTTGTCTGGTCTACGTTTTCTTTCCTGATGTCTGCCATTTCGATGATTTTGCTTGTCTGGGTTGTCTCGGTTGCTTCTATCTGGGAACCTCTCTCGTGTCTTCTCTTCTGCAGTAATCATCTTTTCTATTGTTCGTCTGAATTCTTCGTTGTTTTTCGGATTTTCTTTGCAGAAGTCTTGAAATTGCCACCTAGCCATGATTCCGTGAGAGAAAGCTTCAATTACTTCTTGTTCGGTGATGTCATGCACTTGAGCCCGTAGTTCGCCGAATCATCGATAGTAATCTCTGAGACTCTCACCTCCCTTCTGCTTTAGTCCTTTTAATTCTGCGTGAGTGATCGGGTGTGTAATGATCCCTACAAAATTTTTACAAAAAGCTCTTTACAAGTCCTCTCAATTTCTGATTGATCCTGGATTTAATTTATCGAACCATTGGAGAGGCATGGTTTCCAGGGCCATGGAAAAGAACAGGGTCTTGATGTCATCATCTCCTCCGGCTAGTTCAATTTATTGTGAATATATTCTGAGCCATTGTCTTGGTTCAGTTTTGCCATCATACTTAGAGTGGTTGGACGGTTTGAACTTGTGAAGTAGTCGTATTGATGCAAGTCTGTTTGCAAAACAGGGGAATCTATCGTGCGTTCTGGCTTCTTTGAATTCCGATTCAGCACCTTCTTCTGGCCAACTGTTGTTTTGATGAGAGTAATTCTGCGAGGCCGTCTGGGTAGGCGCCCTACTCCTAGTCTTTCTTGGTTGTTCAACTCGGTGGCCTTGACTATGGTCCCTCCTACTTTCTCTTTTATGACTTCCACTTGGTCCAAGTCTCTCGAAAGCGGACTTCCTTTGATTTTGATCTTCTTGCCTATGGGTTGTTGATCTGGCGGGTAGTCTTGATTGGGTTCTTTCTTCATGCGTCCTCGGGGCCGTTGACCGGAGCAAGTCCCGAAGCTGTTCATACTTTTCACCGGGATGTGAGGTCGCTCTGAGTTCTTCTAATGCTTCTCGGATCTTATCGTAGGGCGTACTTGTCGTGCGTCTTTCTTCGACTTCTCGTTGTGATTTTCTTCTATCGTACTCGGCCAACTTTGACTCATATCTGATCTAGGCTTCCTTGCGCTGCCTAGCACGATGTTGGCGTCCTTGCTTCAACTTGTTTTTTCTTTCTCTAGCTTGTTTCTGATTCTCGGTTTCACCATCGTAGCCCTAGGCAAAGGGTGATATGTTGGATTCTGATTCATCCGATGACCTGACATCGGGTGCTTCTAGGGGGACCAATGGTGACCGAAGGACGGCGAACCATGAGTACTTCCCGTGTGTGAACTGTTCTGTTATTGGCGTTAGTTTCCACACTGTCGGAGTTGCTGATAACTTTAGTAGAGGCCTTGAGGTCACAAATCGAGTCTCCTTCTTGGTAAGGTAGAATAGCTGTCGTCGTCGTGTCGTCCAGTCGGGTACTGCTATCCTCAAGAACAGAGCCCGGCCAGTGGACGATGTAGTCTTGAGATGTTATAGTCAGTACGAGACCTTCCTGAGCTCCCTTCAGTGGCATTCTAAGCACTGGGTCCAGGAATCCTCCAGACCGTGCCTGATTAGATGTTGCCATGTTGTGGAATCCGAGCGGAAAAGGATCCGACTTCTTGAAAAGATTCTGCGTGTACTCCGACTTATATTCTTGATAGGTCAGGGCCATGTTCTTAAGCCCCATCGGAAAAGAACTCGGTTTCTCGAAAGAACTCGGATAGGATTCTATCTCAGATGCGGAGCCTGAATTCGAGTCGGATGCGTAAAGCCGTGAAACCTGAGTTGAATCGGACATCATGAGCTGTGCGAATCTTCCAGAGATTTGGTCTGTCGTAGTCACCGGAATAGAATAGTCTTCATGGTGTTTCGAATCTTCGAGGAGACGGCTTTGGAGCTTGCCATTATTGTCCGCTTCGCAGATCCATGAGCCGAAGATGAAAGTTGATCCCGTCGAGAAGATCATGTTGTTGAGGTCCATCGAGCTCTCGGATGCAAATTTGCCGAAGGCCCCTACCTAGCGCGCCAGCTGTCGATGTTTGACCACCGATAGCCTGCCACGGGGGTCCCCGAGGCAGTATTGTTCGGGCTTTAGCATATGCAGAACTCGACGGTGAACGCAAGAGACAGTCGATTTATCCTAGTTTAGGCCCTCGATTGTGGTCGAGTAATAGCCCTACGTCCAGTCGGCGTTAGCCTTTGCGTTGGATTGATGGTGTTGTAGAAATCGTGATCTCCCGTCTCTAGGAACCCTGCCCTCCTTTATATAGTTAGGAGGTCAGAATCATAGTCGGTTTACAATGAGAGTTCTTAGTAGGATTACAGGATAATACTACTACTAAGATTACATGGGAAGAATCCTAGTTAGACTAGATCTTCTCTCCTCTTTGCGGGGTATCCTGTGGGTCCCGCACCGATAGACCCCTTAAGAAAACATAATAATTATGAAGAACATAGTTGTTTTTCTACTTGTTGCAGGTAGGACGCCTCTTACATCAATGGTCAGGAGACTGGTCTAGGCATTTGCATAAAATATCATAGGGACCAGTCCTCCTAGGCATTACACATTCAGACAAAACTTCTCAAGCTAATTCTCCTCTTTGTGCAGAGGCCTTAAGCCTTTTCTTTGGTCTACGTCTCATTGATTTCCCTGCAGGTTTATGAGTATGATTTTCTTGTTGATAGTTTTGAACTCATGTCCTGTATGAAGGATCAATGTGGTACTCTTCCTTACTAGAGAATAAGACACATCATTAAAGATATGAAGGAGTACTACACAAATATTAGAGGAAAGTTCCACCACATTCCAAGAAATATGAACTCCACAACATATCAATTAGCAAGAAATGCTTCTACTATGTGGTTGGAAAGCCCTATTTTCAGATTTCCAACTTGAATCATTGTAGTGATTGTCCTCTAAAACAAAAACTTTGTAACTGGCTTTATGGGCTGATCTATGTACCTTTTTCATGCATATGGATCAAAGTGCATCCCTTATGGGCATTTACCTCTAAAAAAGTAAAGAGAGGATCAATTGGCAAATGAATTAGCAAATTTATAACTAGACAAAGTGTCAATTTTGCGGTTTGGTTGTGGTAGAGACATCTGCGCGCATTTAGGACCCATCAGTATTGACTGAACAAAATACACATAACTTTAACTAGATAAAGCTCTCTCTCCACCGAGAAAAAAGTAAAAGAAAACCAATGATGATACTATGTGGTTGTTTTATGTCAAGTGTGCTCCCTTAGGAGAAAAATGACCAGTACAAATCAAGAATCGGACCTGCTAGCGCCCGAACGTCTAATACGGGCGCTAGTGTCCGGATAGGTGCCCACATAGGGAGGGAGTGAGTGCCTCGTGCGTCGGGCTCGGCGAGCGAGTGCACCAGCAGTGGGCGGCGCTGCCCTGGACATCGTCTGCACCGCCAACCGCTTCCCACGCGCATCCCATGTGCAACACCGGACTACTTTTGAAACATCCAGATGTAACAGTTGCAACATACAAAAAAGACAGATGAAACACTTGAAACACTTGTGAAAAAACGCCTGAAAACATTTAAAAACCATTGCAAACTTATGCAACATCGAGATGAAACACTTGCAAACATACGTATGAAATACTTGAAAACACTTTAAAACATATGCTTGCAGCAAGCATGTATATGCAACATCTAGATCTAATTTTACAACATCCAGATAAAACACTTGCAACATACGTTTGGAACATACACTTGAAACATATGTGTATAACCATTACAACATGTGCAACATCCTTATTTACTTTTGTAACATCGATATACAACACTTGCAACATACATCTGAAACACTTGAAACATACTCCTGCAACATGCACTAGTCAGGGGACGTCAATGGCCCAGCGTACCCCTAGGCATAGGCGCAAGCCTCCCCTTCATGCCGACGTGCGAGGTTGATGGGGGCGCAAGCGCATGCCTCCTCTTCCACGATGGGCAAGGTGGATGGAGGCACGGACCGCAGAGTAGCCAGCGAATGGGGGTGTAGAGCAGCCAGGGATGGGGCGTGGAGTGCGATCTTCTTCTGCAGAGAGGAGAAGCAGCAAGGGTGGGTGCGCTACTGCGAAAGAAACCACCCAACTTCTGTTGGAGAAGACGAGCGATTTTTTCTGCAGATACGGTGGCAGAGTCAAGCGGAGCGCAGGACGCTCCTATCCTATCGTTACATGATCAAGAATTTCAACTCTGATGACTCGTCGTGGGTCCACTTTCTCTTCCGGTTCAAACCGAGTGGAAAAGATGATCGCGAAAAGATTCTGCCACTCTGCGCCTCATTTAAGCAAAACTCAGTCTTAGGTGGTGTTTAAATCGAGGGGGTAAAGTTTAGGAACGCCACGTCAGGTATCACATCGGGGTATCACATGGGAGTGTTCGGACAGTAATAATAAAATAAATTACAGAAGTCCTTAATAATCCTCGAGACGAATTTATTAAGCCTAACTAATCCATCAGTAGCACATATTTACTATAACACAACATTGTTAAATCATAGACTAATTAAGCTTAAAAATTCATCTCATAAATTAGTCACAATCTATATAATTAATTATTATTTTTAGTCTATATTTAATACTCCATGCATATATCAAATATTTAATATCAGAACTAAACCAGACCTCAGTCCATAAAGCCCAACTAGTATCCTCTACAGTCCACACACTCACTTGTACAGTGCGATACGCTACCCGAAAAGGAAAAAGTGACTGAGCTCAGGCTCAGCCGAACTGACGCCATTAAAACCATGGCCACCATGCCGCCGCCGCTGCCGCTGTCCCCGTCCCCGCCCCCGCCCCCACCCCCGCCCCCGCGCACCGCCTTCTCGCCTCGCTGCACCGCCCTTCAGAACCCATCGACCTACATGTACCACTGCCAGCTTCTCAACGGCGCGCCCCAGGGGTATGCGTCGCCGCGCCACGCGCGCGCGCGGCCCCCTCGGGAGCGGGAGCGGGACCTCGCCGCTTCCTACGCGCGTGAGATCGGCGCCTGCGTCCGCGAGCGGCGCTGGGGCGCAGCGTGCGAGGCGTTTGCGTCCATGCGCACCGCGGGAGCCGCGCCAGACAGGTTCCTCCTCCCGCAGGTGCTCCGCGCTTGCGCCAGCCTTGGTGCGCCCCGCCTTGCGTCCGCCGCGCACGGGCTCGCCGCCAAGGGCGGGGCCGCGCTAGCGGGGGACCCCGTCGTCGGGAACGCGATCGTCGCCATGTATGCGGCGCTGGGGAACGTGGCCTCCGCGCGCGCCGCGTTCGCGTCGCTGCCCGACCGCGACGTCGTGGCGTGGACCGCGCTCATCAGCGCGCACGCCGACGCTGGGGAGCTGGAAGAGGCCTTCGACCTGTTTGAAGAGATGCAAGAGAGCGGTGTTCGCCCGGACATGATTTCGTGGAACACGCTGGTGTCTGGATTTGCAAGAAGTGGTGACCTCGTTGCTGCTCTGCATCTGTTTGACGAGATGCGGCAAAGAGGTGTCGACTCGGGAGTCAATTCTTGGAACTGCATCATCTCGGGTTGTGTGCAGAATGCACTGTATGACGAGGCTTTGGAGGTTTTTCAGGAGATGTGTGAGAGTGAGAGGCCTGATGCGGTGACTGTGGCTAGTATTCTCCCTGCTTGTGCTGGTTTGCAGGCACTAGGCATCGGAAAGCAGCTGCATTCTTATGTTTTGCGGTGTGGAATCAAGATCAATGTTTATGTTGGAGCATCTTTGATTAGCTTGTACTCTGAGTGTGGAGAATTTGATGATGCGAGAGTTGTTTTTTCCACCATTCAGGAGAAGAATGTCAATGTGTGGAATGAGTTAGTTCAATCATATATCAGAGAGGGGAGGATGGACAAAGCTTGGGAGGCTTTTAACTTGATGCAGGAGGATGGATTGGAGCCTGACATTGTCACCTATAACAGTTTCATTGCTGCATATGCTAAAGTGGGTCAGAATGAACAAGCATATGAACTGTTTTCACGCATGGCTGATGTCGGCTTAAAGCCTAATGTGGTCTCAATGAATGCATTAATTTGTGGTTTGCATCGACATGGCCTTTACACAGATGCACTTGAAGCTTTCAGATACATGCAGCGTTCCAGTGATGGAAAAGCAAAGGGTTGGACATTTCTTGATAATTGTGGCCCAATTCAACCAACTGGCACAACCATTACTGGTGTCCTCTCGTTATTGGCAGACCTCAAGTTAGATCGTCTTGGGAAGGAAGTACACTGCTATGCTTTAAAGAATGGTTTCACATCAAACATCTATATTTCAAGCAAACTAGTCGACCTTTATGGTAAGACTGGTGACATGGCGTCTGCTGCTAATGTCTTCCAGAGAATTGGGAACAAGAATGTTGTCACATGGAACAGTCTGATGGCAGCCTACAAGCATAATTGGAAGCCAGAAGTAACACTGAAGCTGCTCGGTGAAATGCTGCAGTCCAATTTGCATCATTGGAAGCCAGAAGTAACACTGAAGCTGCTCGGTGAAATGCTGCAGTCCAATTTGCATCCCAATTTGGTTACAGTACACATAGCTCTTATGTCGTGTGGTATGACAATGGTATTGGGATATGGTAGAGAACTGCACAGCTACATCACAAAATGCTGGTCTGGTGGTTACCCAGCTACTCTTGCAAGTGCTTTGATAAATATGTATGGCAAATGTGGTAATATTGAGGATGCCAGGTTGGTTTTCAAGTCCACGGTTCCAAAGGACATAGCAGTATGGAATGCAATGATGAGTTGCTACTTGCTTCATAGGATGCCTAGGGATATTATAGATCTGTTCAATTATTTGGAACAGTCTGGTATTCAACCAGATCACATTACTTTCATTTTACTTCTTTCAGCTTGTAAGCAAGAAGATCTGTTCGAGGAAGCTCAGAGCTATTTCTACAATATGGAAGATGTATATGGCATAAAACCATCTTTAAAACACTATACTTGCATGGTTGACATCATGGAATCAGCTGGGCTACTGGCGGAGTCACTGACACTTATCCAGAGATGCCGCTGAAACCAGATGCATGCCTATGGTCTACTGTGCTTAAAGCTTGTAAGCTGCACTCAAATCTAGAGATTGGGGAAAAGGCAGCAAAAGCTCTTTTCGAGCTTGAACCAAATAATCCTTCAAACTACATGGTGCTTTCGAATATATATGCAGACACAGGCTTGTTGGATGCCACCGAGGCTGTGAGGGATGCCATGACAGAGCAAGGATTACATGTTGAGAGACAATGCAGCTGGTTATACAATGGTACAGCTGTGCACTCTTTTGAGGCTGGAAATTTGTCGCATCCTGCAATTGATGCAATTTTGAGTACATGGAAACATTTAACTATCAGGATGGAGCAATCTGGGTACTCCACTGAAGATATTGGCCCCTGTTACAATGTAGAAGCTGATCCACTGTCATGCCACCACACAGAGAAGATTGCGGTGTGTTATGGGCTTATCTCCACATATGATCACCAACCAATACGCATCTCAAAGAATTTTAGAATGTGCATGGAGTGCCATTCATCCATCAAGTTCATCTCAAGGGATAAGAACCGGGAAATAATCGTTTCAGATGGTTGCACCTATCACCATTTTAAGGATGGTACATGCAGCTGCAGAGATGCATGGTAAAAGAAGGGAACTGACTAAAATTGTGGATCATGTATGCCATGAAAATTGTGTTTAGGTACACCAATATCGGCCTGGTGACATTTGCACACTTGCACTATCAGTTATGGCTGGTATCAGCAATCAATGTCACCATCTTGAAGCATTCAACACTTCGGTGTATGTCCAGTTTGCTCTCCTGGGAGCCAGGGCAACAGATATGACCAGCTTCATGTGAGAATCTGGAGCTTTTTACTGTGAAATACTGATTTTTGCAGTATATTTCCACAAATTTGCAAGAGACGAAGGCTCAAGTAACAATCTAACAATCAAGACTGGACAAGGTACACATCTTTCCCATGTTATTTAATGTTCTATAAGTTTCATTATTGCGTGTTTTGAGTATATTGATTTGCTAAGAAAACACTGATTTCAAATAAAATAGAGTGTGCATCCTTCATATTAGAGACAGCGAAGATAAAAAAACTACTGATAAGTCTACAGATAGAAATTCCAATGAAGAATTCTTTTTTTTGTGGAGAAATATTACGACCTCCCCTCAGTATTTTCTTATTTTTTGTACTCTATATTTATTCTATAAATTTATTCTATAAACTAGGATTACAGGCAATAAGTACTGTTCTACTATGTTTCTTCCTGTCACCATTCTAGAGGACTTGAGATACGATTTATGTTCACCTTATATAGATGATACACCCCTTTCAGTTCTTACAGATTTATGTGAAGCAACTCATGGGATACATTTTTAATTAACTTCGCACCGACTTCAGTCTTGCCAATATTTTTTTCCAATTCATGCTTCTAAGAAAAGTTATTGATTTTATAATGCAGGTTCCTCAAGAGATCCAATCAGAGGCCAAGTATTAAAATTATTTCATATCTTAGCTATCAAGTTTCCGAGAAAAAAATATCTTAGCTATCAAGTAATTATTTTTACTAATATTTTGGGGGCAAATCAAGCTCAATGCCTCATTGATTAGACTTATGCACTTGTAGTCAATTATCAACACACATATATTTGAAGGTTCCAGTCACCCTGTTGTAATACAAATGTATAAATAGGTTGTTCTAACAAGCTTCTAAGTTCTATGACCTTGCATGCACATTTTAATTGGAATTTCAGTAAAATTTGGATTGTGATCACCCGTTTTTGGTACAAGATTCTTATTAAAGAGATTATCTGATAAATATTACAATATGCAACCTCAGACTGGTTGCACTATTTCTGAAAATAATGGTTACGACCATTTGTTCAGTTCTTCCTTAATTGATTTCTGCAATTTGTTTGAACATAGTGCCATTGAAACATTCTTTGCTCATTTATTGGCATTCATATGTGAATGCATTTTTGCCTTTTTGCAGTTTCAGCTTTTTTTTTGTACCACATTTTCTTGGTGCTCTTCACTCCAATTATGATAAGTGAGGCTCAACCTTTTTAGCGAATTAGTCTTTATTAATACCATTTTCAGTTAGTTATGCACCAAACTGCAGATGTTGCATGACCATTCTCCATGATTGGCCTAGGTAACATTGTAACACCTGGTTGGTAATAAAGGTTCCTTCAAATGCATCTGCTAGGGAAACAATCTTTTACTTCGAATTGGTTATTGAATATGAGCTCGAAGCATACTATCATCCCTCAAGCTTCCTTACCTACAAGAAATTTCAGAGTACACCATTGTAATTACACATGGGGTCAGTAATTCAGGGTCACCCTGCTACAAACAAAAAGCAGCAGCACAGAGCACACCCAGTACTAAGTGATTTACCCTTTTCTTTTGATTTCCTAATTGCACTTCACACTGATGGTGCCTTGACAAAAATTCTGATCTCTTTGCTGCTGCTACTGCCTTTTTGGTTATCATCTCCCTGACTTGCTACCTACCTGTCTCTGTTGATGCATCTGTATGTGATTCTACGAACCAACCTGCACAAGTGGCCTCCATTCAATACACCATAAAAAAGGATTAGGCGCATCAGCTCTATTTTTTTTTTCCAGTTGTCCTTGCTAGTGAGCAAGCAAGTACACTTGCAAGCTTTGAACTCCAGTAGTTTCCTAAATGAACTCCCAATTTAGATTTTTTTTGGCAAAAAGATAAAAAAGATCTTTCCAACAGTTTGGTAAAGCTACTCCTTAAAAGTAAGAACTTGGTAAATCGCCTCTCCAACTCGTAAGTTTCCTCAGTCGATAGGAACTCTATATCCGCTCCCTGTTCGGTGTTTTTCTCAAAGTAAATTGGACACATGAGTAAATTAAGAAAATAAAAGGTATCAGGTGAAAAAGCGGTAAGAAAAAAGAAACTATGAAAGAAGCTTTGGTTGGTTAGAAATAGTTTGGAGCTATCAACGCAAAATCATTGGAAAGCTAGTATAGGAAACTTTTGAAAAGGGAAATAAATTGACGTTGCTATTTGTTTTGTTAACTCGTTAAACTTATTGGTTTAACAAGTTAATTATAGGAAACACCTAGAATTGCTCTTGGAAAGGGCAGGACAATGCCTTTTACATAAAACAACTTGTTTATTCTTCTCTTCTAGTTACACTTCGTTTATTCTTCTCTTCTCCGTTACAGACACACCTTGAGTCAATGCTTCAGTTTTTCCTTGCTCTAAAATTCTCTGTACCTTTTACAATAAATTAGGTAGCTGCATTATGAACTTTTAGCGCCACTTAGTTAGAGTTGTCAATATTTTATTTTCTTCTACAAATAAAACCATCTTATATTTACATCAACAAACAGACACATCAATGTGTATGCAATCATTTCTATCCAAGAGGTACTGGAGGCAAATGGGCTGATCCCACACCCACACTGGTGGTCTCCGTATAAACTCACTCACGCATGCGGGCTGGCCCAACACAGGCAAGCGTTGCCGCGCATGATTTCTAGTGAATGCCTTATAGGTGACAAGACTGGTTATGCTCGCTCCTGTAGTCCTGTGGCATCCTTAGTTGATGCCAATTCAGGAAGTCTTAAAGTTCTACACAGGCTTTCTGTAAAAAGGAAAAGCAGGGGCATGCATCTTACTAACTATGGCTGGTCCATAGTGTAGATACCGTCATGGCTGAGACTTGAGACAGTCTCACTCTTCAGTTGTTCATCTACTGGTAGCAAGTAGTCTAGATGTGTTTGTAGCTGCTTTTATTCAGCCTATTGGCCTTCTGTTACATAAACATTGGCCTCACGTACACAATTGTACTACATCTGCCGTCAGTCTTGGTACGAGGTCACCACAAATGACAGATTATATGTCAATGTTGTTGCAGGGACCAAACCATTCTCTCACTTTGTCAGAACTCAATTTGCAGAGACTAGTCTTTCATTTGTTTGTTCAAAACCTAATCAGTGTAATCAGATTTACTTGATAAGACCGCCAAAATTTTCATGATTTTATCCTCCTCTTTCCAGCACCTGTGGCGAATCTACTTACATTTGAGGGGGTGCGGATGCTCTTACGAGAAAACGAATATAACAACAATTACAACCAATTCTTCAACTGCACCACGTATGGCATAAATCCATGCAACCACAGGACACCTTTATCCATGCAACCGCCCACATGAAGTGCTCTCCCAGTTGCGATTTGCACATGAGTAGTTTTGAGTTGACCCGCAGCCTTAAGGCTCTAGGGCAAAGCACATATCCCAAAATGTGCGTACAGTAGTTCTTTCAAGTAAACACTAAATAAGACTACAGAAGACTTCAATAAATGGGCATGAAACACCTAAATGAGCCTCAAGCTTAAAACGAAAAAGTATGTTTATTTCCTAACCAAACTAGAGAACAAACATCAATCCCATATCTGCAGAGACAAAAAAAGGCCTTGTTTTAATCCAAGCCTGCTACATATTTGCCGTATCCTCATAAATAATCTATCTTCATGTGGGCGGTAGGGCTAGAAATCATGACTGGACTCTATCTCAGGAGCTATGGTGTCGAATCATTTCGGATGGTGCAGCTGCGCCTCGCTTCTCGGCTTCTGAGCTGCAGATGCTGGGAGAGGAACAGGGACTCGAACGAAAGTTACGTGCTGGAAACATGCGAGCCTGCTTCTGGTAGCCACAACTTCTTCCGGATTATCAAGATCATTTCGTTCTCCTCTGATTCTGGGCTTGGCTCAGCATCTACAACAGTTATTGCTTCCCAGTGAAGTGCGTGGAGGTACTTCTTGATGAATTCAATGATAGTGCTCTTGTCCCTCACGATGACAAACCCAGTTGGCCTGAGGATACGATCCATTTCAAGGAGCAGGTCTTCAGCACTGCAACCTCTTTTATCAAGGTCAGAGAAGACTGCCCATGCATGGAGAAGATCATATGTTCGAGGATAGGTTGAGAAGGCTTCACACCTGCAAACAAATTATTGCATTAGAGTAAATTGTAAATGTGGAAGCACAATGTCCCCGCTTCTGCGGAAACTTGCCAATAATAACAATCTTGATTGCAAACAATGCGGGCCTAATGATTAACATTTGCAATGGCAATGCAACAAAACCTTCACTCAAACCAAAACAGGAAATGTAACTCAAGAATATAGTTTCAGTTGCCCAACCCTGGATCTGGCTCTTTTTTATAGAGCTTTAGAGGCCTCAACCATGAGGCTCATGATCGTACTGCTAAACTTCATACTAATTTTCACAACAAAGAGTACAGCATACAAGGCACAGCACAACACTTTTGGGAGGGACCAATAGACATACAATGTTAGCATTATGGGCCAAATACCATTGCAGCAATCAAAACAGATTTCCTTTAACACAAGACACCCAGTATTTTCAGATGCATCAAGGGTAGAACAGTAGCAGAATGGTTCTAATGAGCCTCATCCTAAAGGTGCTTGTTTTGTCTAAAATACCAAGAATAAATTCTAACAAGGAAACACTCCTTACAAAGTATTGAAGGAATTCACTCCTAAGTTAAGTTGCATAGGTCAGCACAGCCAATAGGTTCAACAGTGTTTCATCATAAAATTCATCCGTGATCTTGTAAGTTGTAACCTAAAGTCTGATCAGAATATAGCTGTGAGATACAGCATTCACCATCAATATAGAGTTGTAATTTGCACTTTTAATTACCACTAAAACATAAGGGCAAAAGGCATGGCAAACTGGTACCATGTTGATATCTCTTAGCTGTACAAAATTCAATAATAACAATGGATAAATTTATAGGTGCTTAACACATACCAGTCGTGATTGCTGCCTATCAGCCCTCTATCATAGATTATCTTGAGGGTGCTTGGTCCATCATGTGGCACAACATTCATCACCCATACGTCTTTTTCCTTGAGTGCAGCAGCAAATGACCCAAAGTTTGCTTTCATGTCCATGATGTTTCTAATAGCGTCTGGTTTTACCTTTGGGCCCAACAAACTCCAATAATTTTCTACTCTTTGCTGCCACATTTCCTGCACAGCAAGAATTACATCAGCAATCTTTATGCAGTTCTTATGAACTCAAATAAGAAAGTTCTGAATGTAAATGGTATGTCATTATCATAAAGACATTGTAAGGTCAACTAACCGTGTCCTTTTCAAATGTGTCTGCAGTAACATACAAATCAGCAAGACGGGGAGGCGGGGTTGTTAATCGAGCAGGCCAGGGAGCTAGCCCAGTTCCCCCATCTCTGTGCATTTCTGAAAACATAAAACGACTTGTTCAGTATTCTTCTTGCATCCCAAGGTTAGAGAAAGTGAAAATAATAGGGGCAAAGGGAATTTCTACCCTATGCCTAGCTATTACTGACAAACATGAAAAGTATATATTGAAAAAAAATACAATTGTTTCCAGGATTGTTTATCTACAAAAAAGGAATCATGCCTTGACATAAGCAAATAATAATAATAATAATAATAATAATAATAATAATAAGACCATGAATCAACAAAGAAACTAATTTAGTGTTATATTCAATAATAATAATAATAATAATAATAATAATAAGACCATGAATCAACAAAGAAACTAATTTAGTGTTATATTCACATCCCAAAGTCAGAAATCGTGTATGACAAATGAGAGAAGCAAAATGTCACAAGTACGTTCTTTTTTTTTCTCAGAAAAAAGCAGGGTACACCTTTAGTATCAAACGACTAGGTGGGAACAGGATAATTACTCACGTTCAGGATACGGAGTAATGCAAGCTTCCATTGGCACTCCCCATACTGAATCTGGATCATCACCACTTTTGCATAGAGGTGGCTTTGTACCATGTGCTCGTCTCTTGTAACAATCATTGTTCAGAGGTTTCACCCAAATAACAGTTTGGTTTCTTTTCTCTGCAATTTTCCAGCACATCCTTTCCACAAGGGCACTCATTTCTTTCCAGATTCGGAGATCCTCCTCATCCTGTGCATATGCTTCAGGAGAGGAGTAAGCAAAATAACCTCCAGGTCGTAGCAATCTGTCTAGTTCAAGCAGAAGA